CCTTCTCCTCCTCCTCCTCATCATCATCATCACCACCACCATCATCATCACCATCACTATCACCATGACCATCACCATCACCATCATCACCATCATCAGCATCATCACCACCACCGTCATCATCATCAGCATCATCATCAGCAGCATCAGCATCATCAGCATCGTCATCATCAGCAACATCATCATCAGCAGCAGCATCAGCATCAGCATCATCACAATCAGCATCATCGTCATCCTAATCATCATCATCATCATCATCAGCAGCATCATCAGCAGTAGCAGCAGCATCAGTATCGTCATAAGCATCGCCATCCTTCTCCCTCCTTGTTCCTTCTAATTAGCTTCGCCCTGTCGCACCCCGAGGCGTGTGGGCAGGGCGGGCCAGGAATTTCGCCTGAGATTTCCTCGCCACACATTATCTTCAAGCTGGTGGTGGGCGGGCCGATTACAGCATGTGGCTCTCGCCTTAGCGCCGCGCACATTCGCCCGCCAAAGTTTGCAATAGCCAGCTTCACGGATGGAGGGCGGGCGGTTACTTCATGTAGTTTTCGCTTTAGCGTCGCGCACCGTCGTCTTGAACATGTTGTAAGAATGTCATGGGCCAGGGACGGGTGGTACTCAACATGTGGCCCTCGTCTTAGCGCCGCGCGCACTCGTCCTTACAATTTGCAAGAGCTTCACGGATGGAGGTCGGTGCTTTTTCAACATGTGGCTCTCGCCGTAACTCCGCGCACATTCGTTTTCAGCGTGAACAGCTGTTTTAAATATTATTCTGGTCGATGTCCTGAAGACGGTGTGTTGGCACAACGTGAGACTGTCATGGCGCAACAATTACACTGTTTCGCGGTGCTGAGGTCCCAAGAACGGCGTTTGGGCACAACCCAGGACCGCGGGGACGCGAGATAAACCTCGATTTGCGGCGTTGAGGTCCCAGTTCTGGCGCGGTTCAAGATTTTCAGACAGTTGTCTTCCAACGGGGCACTTCCCTCAGTGGCAGTGAATCCTTGCAGTGACTTAAGCAGATGGAATTTGGAGGGGGCATTATTGCAGTATCACTGATGAGTCTTGGAGTTAGAGTGGTCCTCCACCACTTCTTCGGCCTCCTCCTCCTCCTCCTCCTCCTCCTCCTCCTCCTCCTCCTCCTCCTCCTCTCCCCCCCAGAAGAAAAAAACCATTTTACTCCGCGGCCCCCCTCGTATCCGTCTCCTCTCATCATGCGTCTCCTGCTCCTCCTCCCCCTCCCCCTCCTCCTCCTCCTCCTCCTCCTCCTCCTCCTCCTCCTCCTCCTCCTCCTCCTCCCCCTTCTCCTCTTCCACCTCCTCCTCCTCCTGCCCCCATCCTCATCATGCTCCCTTTCTTCTCGTCCCTGCTCCACCCGCTCTTCCTCGTCCTGCTCCTCGTTGTCCCCATTCCTCCTTCTACTCCTCGTCCTCGTCCTCGTCCTCCTCCATTTCCTCCTCCTTGTCCTCCTCCACCTCCCCCTCCTCCTCCTCCTCCTCCTCCTCCTCCTTCTCCTTTTGCGTTTATCCAATATTATACTACTCTCGTCCTCCTCCTCCTCCTTCTCCTCCTCATCCTCCTCATCGTCCTTCTTCTCGTCATTATCCCCCCTACCCCCTCCCCCTCTATGTATGTTTCGTTTCGCTCTCGCCATCCTTTCCATCAGTTCCTCCACCCTCATCCTGTGCCTCCTGAGATGCACGAGGAGCATTGAAATACTGCGGCCACCCTGGCGCCTGTCGTCTCCAGTCAGCGCCAGCGCCTTGGCCCGGCCTGCGGCAAGGAGGCGGCCAAGCAGGAGGGACACCGAGGAAGGAGGAGCATGAAAAGGGGAAAGACACAGGAAGAACGATGGGGAGACTTCCAATTCCCCCCCCGACCAGCCTGGCGCCGTGCGTGCAGCGCCAGAGGGCGGACTGCTCACCCAACGTCCCGCTATACGGGACGACGCGGTGTCCCTCTAAGTAGGACGGCGTGGGCACCGAAGGGTACCACAGGCCCTTCCTCCATTCGGAGCAGTGCATCATGGCCACCGGCCTCGAAGACAATCAATAGCCCTGACGACACCAGCACGAACGTCGTCGGTGCTGAAATCTGCTACATGCTTAGCAAGTCGCTCTTTCCCATACGTGTAAACATCCGCCGACCCCCTGGGGGGTTCTGGGTCGTGAGCCAGCTCCCTCCTGCATCCCCCTCCCCCAGGAACCCTCCCCGACAACCTTTGAGTTAAACAAGCCCCGGCAACAACCCCCGACGGATTCGTTTGACCCAAAGAGGCTCCGCGAGGGTTACCTCGACGAATACCCAAGAACACCGAAACCCTTATCGTCGTCATCGTCCTCGTCCTGCATTCTTCTTCCTTTACATGTTACTTCTCCCTGTCACACCCCGAGGCCAAGTCGGAAGGGCAGGCAGGGCGTGTCGCATGAGACGTCCCCACCGCTTAAGATCCAGAAGCTGAAATGGGAGGAGGAAGGATGCGGGAGGAGGAGGGAGGAGGAGAGGAGGAGGAGGGAGGAGGAGACGGAGGAGGAGGGGGAGGATCCAGAAGCTGAAATATCGGCAACAGCATCACACATGGCGGGCAGGCGGTTCTCAAGATGTGGCCCTCGCCTTTAGCGCCGCGCACATTCGTCTTCACAAGCTGCAGCAAGCTGTACGGATTGGGGGCGGGTCGTTTACAAAAAGAGGTGGCTCTCGCCTCAGCGCCGCTCTCACTCGTCTCAAACATTCGCAGGGTTTCACGGACTGAGGGCGGGATTGAGGACGGTTCCTTTTCAGAGTGTGGCTCTCGCCTAGCTCTCGCCTTGGCGCCGCGCGCACTCGTCTGAAACATGTGCAGGACGCTTCACGGCTTGAGGGCGGGATTGAGGACGGCTCCTTTTCAAAATGTGGCTCTCGCCTTAACACCGCTCACACTCGCTTTAAACAATTGCATACAGTTTCAGAATATTCACGGATTCCCATGGTCAGCGTACCAGAAATTACATGTTGGAACGACTCAGGATTGCCAAAGCGCACCACTTACGTTGATTCGCGGTGCTGATAAATTTGATACTTGGCGTTGGAGTCCCGGGAATGGTGTTTTGGCACGCTCCAGGATCTTCAGACGGTTGTCTACCAATGGGGCACTTCCCTCAGTGGAAATAAATTCTGATAAAGGGGCCTATGAAAAAGTGAGCTTGGAACGAGGGAGTCTTCCAACATCGTTGGTGAGTCTTGGGTTTACACCGGTCCTCCTCCTGCTCCTCAACCGCACCGTCGTCGTCGTCCATGTCAGCCTGTTCCTCCCTCTCCATCATTGTCGGGGGATTGGCGGGACGGCGTACACGACGGTCGGAAGAAGTGCGTAGAAGAACAAAATAGGAAGGCGTTAGAAGCAAATTGGGCTCCCCCCCCCCTGAGGACGATGGAACGGGGAACATCATTCGACTGTTGAAGTAGGAAGGCGGCTGAAGAAAGATTGGGATCCGAAGATCCAAACACACATGCTTTCAATGACCAGCGTGCAAGCCTCTTGAACAGCCGTGGGACCGACGTCAACACGACCAACAACTGGCCACACGCACGGAACCCTGTCACCTGATGCGCGAGCTCCCACGCAAAGCGACCGCGACGGCGGGACGCGCCTGGCCGAGCAGGGCACGCGGGAACGCCGCCGTACCCCAGATGCTGGATCGGTTTAGGCACACCCCAAAAGCTGGATCGGTTCAAGCACGCGGGGTGCATTTCGAAGTCCGGCGGGGCGGCGCGGAGATCGACACTGCGAGGCGGGGATGTACCTCGAGGAGGAAGAAGAGGAGGACGGAGGAGGAGAAGGAGGAGGACGAGGAAGAGGAGAGAGAGGAGGAGGAGGGGGAAGAGGAGGAGAAGGACCAGTGCATACAGTGTAAGCCAGAGAATCATCAACGATGTTAAAATGAACGCGCCCTCCAAGCTCCCTCTTCATAAGCCCCTACAACGGTTCATTTCCATTGAGGGAACTGCCTCGTTGGAAGATACCCTTGAAGACCCTGAAACATGCCAAAACATTGTTCTTGGATTTTAACGCCACGTATCAACCTGATTGCTGCGTCTTGACCATCCAGAAGTGTGCCAGAACGCCATGTCTGAACTTCAACACCGCAAAATAGAATAACTGTTGCACCCGCATAACCATGAATCTTTCCAAAACACCATGTCTAGTACGTTGATGGGAATCAGCGAAACTCTTCCAAATTGTATGAACTAATGTGCGCAGCATTCAGGCGAGAACAACATGTTGAACACCACCCGCCCTCAATCCGTGTAACAAACTTGCAAATTGTTAAAACGAGTATGCGCGGCGCTGACGCGAGAGCCACATCTTGAAAACCACCCGCACTCAATCCGTGACGCTCTTGCAACTTGTTACAACGAGTGTGTGCTGCGCTCAAGCGAGGAGCTACAATTTGAAAACCACCCACCCTCAATCCGCGAAGCTCTTGCGATTTTGAAAACGAATGTGCGCGGCCGTCAAGCGAGAGCCACATTTTGAAAACCACCCGCCCTCAGTCCGTGAAGCTCTTGCAAATGTTTAAAACGAATGTGCGCGCCGCTGAAGCGAGAACCACATTTTGAAAAATCACCCGCCCTCCATCTGTGAAGCTGCTGCCACATTTAAGCTTCCAAATCAGAAATGGTGAGGAAGTCTCAAGCGAAACGCCAGGCCCGCCCTAAAACCTGGCCTCGGGCATATGAAATTATTAGGGAAAAGGAATGGAGGAGGAGGAAGAGGAGAGGGAGGAGAAGGAGGAGGGGGAGGAGGAGTAGGAAGAGGAGGAGGAGGAGGAGGAGAAGGAGGAAGAGGAGGAGAAGGAAGAAGGATGAGGAGGACGATGAGGAGGAGGAGGAGGAGGCGGAGGAGGAGGGGAGGAGGAGGGGGAGGAGGAAAAAGGGGACCTCATGTTAGGGACCTCATGTTTCACGTCCGGAACGGTCATGCGTCACGCCGCCTAAGACGAGAAAATAACAACGGGCACAATGTGGGCTAGTCGCCTGGCAACTCGCTGCCCTGCCAGCGGTACCCTGAAGCCATGGTTCACCCGACCCTGCGGGGGCTGCGCTGGCATGGTTCACCTGCTTACGGTTTTAAGCCGTATGCTCAAAGAGCCGCAGGGCCAGCTTGGGGTAACAGCCAACAGGCACGTGCAAACGGGGTCCGCGCTGGCACCGGGTGAGATAACTGATCTCGAACCCGAGGATCCCCGCCTGGGAGTGGGCGAGAGGCCCCATGGGGTTCACGTGCCACGCGCACCACCCCTCCCGGAAATGCGCGATCGCTGCTGCAGCTGACGCCGCGGCAGTGGGCCAAGGCTCATACCATTTTACCAAAATGCAGGGGAGCCAAGCTCATCCCTGCCCCCCCCCCCCCCGAAAAAAAACGGCCGCCTGCCCGCTCCCGCATCACATCCGAGCAACCTGACAATATGTCCCAGAGCAAGCGTGGCACGGACACCATGGGAACGGGGGTGCCAGGCCCCCGCTCAGGGCGAGGAGGACGAAGAGGGGGGGGGAGGAGGAGGAGGAGGAGGAGGAGGAGGAGGAGAGGAGGAGGAGGAGGAGGAGAGGAGGAGGAGGAGGAGGAGGAAGGAGGAGGAGGAGGAGGAGGAGGAGCAGGAGGAGGAGGGGGCCCCACTCAGGGAGAGCGCGCCGAGGCGGGCCCCCACCGCCCACGCAGGAGGGCAGAACCCGTGCTCGGGCTCGCCATGACCCCGACTCCTGAAGCAGAACAGGCGCTGGAAGCAGATCGGGGTCTGGGAATCCAGGAATCAAGACGAAGCCAGGACGAGGGGAGGAAACCTCGGGCGCCGCGGCCTTCTGAGAGTGCTCCAGACCGCTCCGAGAGCGCTCGGGAACGCTGTGGAAGGGATCCGTCCACGTCCTAGCCCCGTCCGAGGAGTACCTGCTCTCAACGACTGGCGTGTACTCGTAGCCCTCGCCTGGGGGATCGAGCTTCGGGGACCTCGGCAGGCGGTGGACATGGGGCCCAATTCTCGCCCCCCGCAGGGCTGGGACCTGCGCACCTCAAGCGCGTGCCGCGGTGCCCGAGGCTCGATCCCCCAGGCGGTGGTGGCGGGTAAGTCCCCGCCTCGGGAGCCACGGCGCGGCCGTGGCGGCTCGCGAGTCCACGTGCGAAGCGAGCGCGGGTCCCACCGCAAGTCTGGTGCTGCGTGCTGGGGCGGCCGTACGCCTGTAGCGACGCCTCTGTGCTGCAGGCTCACAAAAAAAACACGTGGAGCGAGAGGGTTCACCAGGCAGGGATCTCGATGCCGTCGTGGGAATGTGTGTGCGAAGTGTGAGCGAAGTGTGAGCGGGCACGGCAAGGTGAGCGGGAGGGGGAGGGAAAGGCGGGGCAAGGCGGGCAGGGAGGAGGGAAGAGGACGCCGGCATCTTGGGTGCTACAAACCGGTACTGTACGCGGAGGGGGCGGGAGCATCTTCCGCAAAGACCCGGAGGTGAGTGGAGAGCGGCACTACATGTTGTGCAGCGGTGGAGGAAGGGTAGGACGAGGAGGGGGAGGAGGAGGAGGAGGAGGAGGAGGAGGAGGAGGAGGAGGAGGAGGAGGAGGAGCAGGATGAGCAGGAGGAGCAGGAGGAGGAGGAAGACGAGGAGGGGGAGGGAGACGAGGAGGGGAGAGAGAGAGAGAGGAGGACATCCAGGGGGCATCGCCACGGCCAGTGCGGCGCACACGTGCCACAGGCGGCGCATCCGCGCGGCAGCGCGCACAGCGCCCCCGGGCACGCGGCGCGGAG